GCCGCCATCAGCGGGCCGGAGGAGGAGGAGGAGGAAGACATCTCTCTAGCAGGCAGCCCAGAAGCTGCTGTCAGCGGATCAGGGGGACAAAGACACGGCAAGCCAGGACGGCACAGGGGACTTGTCGAGGCAGCAGAGGAGTCTACTTCTCTGATCAGTTCCACCCGTGAAGGGCTAGCCGCGTCTCCCCCTCCCTATCAGCTGCCCCTTGTTGGCGTATTCCTCTGAGGGGGGGGGGGCTGATGATTCACCACACAAGGAGACTGCACTAGCACCCAGCTGCCCCCTCATGGTTCCTTCACTGCCATGGAAAGTGGTGTTCTGTCTCCATGAAGGTTTCAAGTACTCTAAATACCAGCTTCGGATGGATTTATACAATGTTTGGGGGACGGACACAGTAGAAAAGAATGACAGTGGGTATATGTTTCAAGTGCCTTGTGTAAATTGCACTCTTTTAAAAGAGTGCAAAAGGGGGAATTGCGGAAGTTTATGAAGAGAATTATGCAGAAGATGTGATGCAGCATATTTTTGGTATATTCATTTTAATCTCACCAATATATAAGAGGTGTATTGCATCATGTTATCCCTAAATATATGTGTGGGTATATACATTCCTGTGTATTAATAGTTGAAGGAACAAAATACATTTTTCCTCTTAAATATAGAGAGGTTTTTTATAGATTCCTGAAACAATGTTCCCTTTTTCTTTAAAGTAGATTAGCGCAATAGTCTTTTTCTTTCACTTATACCCTTTTCATCAAAAGGCTATTTTTGAGGGGTAAAATGCAGAATTACTTGTGAGTTCTGTTTTGAGTGAAAAGATTACCCTTTTGAGTGTTTTTCTTGGTTAACCATTAGATATAGTGGCTAAATTCGTTCTAAGTTAATTGTGCGCATCCTGCAGGCCTTGAGAATTTAGTCACACAGTTAAGAGAGACAATGGTCCTTTTAGACTAAGGGTGAGCTTACTTCGGGTGAATAAAAGTTCAGAGATGATTGGGGGGGGTATGAAGACAGTTAGGCGTTGTTGGGGAGCTAGTTCTGAGGATGTCATGGGATAATGACTGTTATATTCCCAACAAGTATGGCTTTCATAAAGAAACACATGACTTGGGTGATAAGATGTGTTTTGTTGTAAAATGGGCCCGTTTGGTTTTCTGCTGGCCAGCGCTGGGTCACTGTGACAAAGCATATTTTGCGTCTGCCAATGAGGGGACCTGAAAAGATGACCAGCTGACCTCACCCCTTCCTTCTGTCTTCTGGTATATATTCTGTTGATTCCTGAGTTCGGCCTCTCTTCACATGCTGTCAGGACAGAAGGATCTCCGCAGCACGCGAACCAGGGCAGAAGTGGCCGGCTACTTCTTAAAACATTACAATATGATTTTAGTATATTGTATTATATGGTGTTGTAATGTATTATAGTGCATTGCATTATTACCTTTGATAATTAAAACAGATTGTTTAAACTGGTATCTGGGTGTTCTCTGTCTGATTTCCTTCCTGTTATGATTTTAAGCAGGACTCGTCAAAACGACACGCGGAGCCGAGTGGGGTTGTAAAAACCTCAAAACTCCAACAATATCTAAACAGAATCAGGAAAGCCTGTTGGTAGAGTCAGGCAGCACACGAGTCCGTTTGAGTGTGTCTGCTCTACCAACATGCTCACGAACTCCTAGCTAAGTAGCTAACTGTCCCTGCTGTTAGGCTGCTCAGCTAGCATTGGTATGGATCTAAAGGTAGCAAAAGCTAACTTTCATAGCACAGCTTTTCTTTACTTCTCACTTAACACAATAAAGAAGCAGACCGTATAGTACAGCACAAACAATACAAATGATCAATACTTACATATATTTGCACTTGTAGTATTATAATAATTGAAATGCTGGTTATTCTGGGGGTGTTCTATCCACGCTCAGCTACCGCACCGAAGCTGCACTGTACAATCGCTGGAGGACTGGGCTGTCAATCAAAAACTGAGTAGCCAATGGGGACGCACCCCTGAAAGTCCCGCCTACCTGGGACGTTTGTGTCAGAATCGAAAACAAAAAATGAGGGAGCGCAAACGAGAGAGCTGAGCGATATGGAGCTATTTCAGGGTCATAAGTTTTGATCATTCAAACAAATACAATTTATTTGAAAGTCCAAGTTTTCATCATGAACTTTGAAAAATACAATATTGTATTAAAATGTTTCAGGTTGAATATTATTTTTTATTCAGTTCAGCAATTTTTTTGAATAAAATATTTATTTTCATATTTCATTTTTATACATATTTTGATATTTGAATACTTATTTTTTTCAGTTTCAGATTTTACGTTTTCAGATTCAAATTTTTTTTTTTTCAGGTTTCAATAATTTTTTCGCCTTCAGATCGTTTTTCGCTTTCAGATCTTTTTTTTCGCTTTCAGACTTTTGGCCCTGATATTGCTTCGGGGGGCGAGGCTTACGGCCCCTACACACGGCGGCGTGCGTTGCCGCTTCAACGCTTCTGCCCATTCACTTTGAATGGGGTGACGTCACGATTCGCCGAACTGCATTGTGGGAGCAAAGCGTAGCTTCTCTCGCGGTGCTCGCTGCAAAAGTAGAGCAATGTTCTACTTTTGCAGCCTCGACGGAGGCGTCAGCCAATCAAATCCCGCATATGCAAATCTGACAGTTCAAGCGCTAGCCAATCAAACCGTGTGTATGTTGGGAGAGCCAGACCGCAGTTATTTCCCATACGTCAAAAAATTGAGGAGACAATTATCGTGGCGGTAGGGAATCACCCGGTATATGACCAGTCCCTCTTTACATACAGGGATACAAACCGGAGGAGCCAGGCATGGGGGGAGGTGGCAGAGACAGTGGGTGACACTGGTAGGTTTTCGCCTGTTTGGGGAGTTTATATCCAGTGTACTTCGTTTGAATGGACAGCTAGCAAGCATAGACAGTATATTTAGCCAGCATGGATGTAGCATGAGCTTTGCTTTGTATGTCCGGGGCGGGACATTCATATGATTGGTTGTTGGTCGCGTTGCTCGCGTTGACTCCCCAAGCTCAAGACACGCCCACCGCCAAGCGGTAACGCACGCCGCCGTGTGTAGGCTCCGTTACCAAAGAGTAGTTTGGCACCCAGAAATCCACACAGCGGCGTGCGTTGCCGCTTCCAACGCTTCTGCCCATTCACTTTGAATGGGGTGACGTCACTTTTAGCCGAACTGCATCGTGGGAAGCGACGCGGAGCAATGTTCAACTTTTGACGCCTCGGCAGAAGCATCAGCCAATCGAATCATATGCCAGTACAAGCTCTAGCCAATCAAACCGCTGCTTGTGTGTCAGGGGCGGGAGATTCATGTGATTGGTTGTTGGTCGAGTGTCAGACACGCCCGCCGGCAAGCGTCAACGCACGCCGCTGTGTGGACGGGCCGTTCAGCCCTTCCTCTGTCATGATGCCTTCATGGATGTTAGGTAGCGCAAGAAATATAACTACACACTTTCTATACACAATACTCCCGTGATTGGTAGTAAACAAAACTGATACCAGCGTCAAAGTTCCGTTAAGCGAGCTGTTGAGCATCGTAGTTGGCAACAATTGCGGTATATGCCTACACACGGCGGCGTGCGTTGCCGCTTGGCGGTGGGCGTGTCTTGAGCTTGGGGAGTCAACGCGAGCAACAACCAATCACATGAATGTCCCGCCCCGGACATACAAAGCAAAGCATTCATGCTATATCCATGCTGGCTAAATATACTGTCTATGCTTGCTAGCTGTCCATTCAAACGAAGTACACTGGATATAAACTCCCCAAACAGGTGAAAACCTACCAGTTTCACCCACTGTCTCTGCCACCTCCCCCCATGCCTGGCTCCTCCGGTTTGTATCCCTGTATGTAAAGAGGGACTGGTCATATAGTACCGGGTGATTCCCTACCGCCACGATAATTTTCTCCTCCATTTTTTGACATATGGGAAATAACTGCGGTCTGGTTCTCCCAACATACACGCGGTTTGATTGGCTAGCGCTTGTACTGTCAGATTTGCATACGCGGGATTTTATTGGCTGACGCCTCCGTCGAGGCGGCAAAAGTAGAACATTGCTCTACTTTTGCAGCGAGCACCGCGAGAGAAGCTACGCTTTGCTCCCACAATGCAGACACAATACACATGGTATATCAAAAGTTTGTCAGTAAATGAAGCTCAGCGTAAGTTCTTTCAGGAACACTGGTATACATTCACTCCGCATCTGCTTATAATCAGCTCATCACGGGCTTTCTGTTAACCTATTACATTCACCTCAATCTCAGCAGCCAATCACTGTGCTGCAGCCAAACTTTAAAATGGTTCTCCTCTCTCCTGCAGTCAGCTGTGATTTCAGGCGTTCATGCTGCCGACCACCTCCTCCCCATCCACCTCCTTTCATCATATCCAGAGCCAGGAGAGCTAATCCAAGACCTCATCACATCCCCTCATCAAATCCAGATCTTCAGCATCATCACCAGTGTCTAGACCCCGGGAGGGGGGGTTCCCTATATGCTCACGGCTGCATTTCCCCCTTTAGATATACAATTTCAGGATCGGGGTCTAATCGCAAAGACTTAACATTTATTATATGGCATGTGTCAATGAATGTTCTTTAAACAAAATGAAGTCTCTCCTGATTGAAATTAATTTGCATATGCAACAGAAAATTATGACAATAAAACCATTTTTTTTTCAACAATCTACGCAGCAAGTTTACATTTCACATGGAAATCAAGCAGTTTGACACACACTAGGGCTGGGCGATTTGGCCTAAAAATTAAATCTCGATTTTTTTTTCTAACTAATGGACAATTTTCGATTTAAACCTCGATTTTTTCTATTTTTTTCTAAACAAACCAGACCAAGGCAACATTTAAATACATATTTTCTTTATTAACACAATAAAAATAAATGAGATTACCAAGTAGTCTAGGCCTATGTGAACAAATCAGTTGTTCAAGAATAAAAAAAATTAAATAAAAACAGCACCACTTGGTTGTCATTAATGTGCAAAGATTTTTTTTAAATCAAACTGAAAAAAAAACTTGTAAAATGAAATACAACAAATAATAAATAATGATAATGAAATGAATAATAAAAAAATACCCTCAAACAAAATAACATCCCTTTAACTTTCTAGGAAGTTGTCTACAGGTTTTTCGCGAGGAAGACAAGCCTGTCTACTGCCTCTGGCTTGAGGCATGCTCTTTGGCATGTTACAATGTTACCCCCCGTACTGAAAACCCTCTCCGAAGGGGCACTTGTGGCAGGAATGGAGAAATATTTCTTGGCCAGATTACTCAGTCTTGGGAAGTTAGCTTCATGTAGCTTCCACCACTGCAGTGGGTCTGTATCAGGGTCTGTCTCAGACGACAACAAGTAGGATGACAGCTCAGCTTCAATTTTGTCCTGCTCTGACTGGGAGGTAGACAACACTGTCAGTGTCTTGTTCTTGAAGAAGCTTGCTAGAGTTTTCTTCTTCTTTGTAACAGGTTCAGCAGTTTCTTCTTGGTGCAGGTCCTGCACAGATGTGCCAGGCTGGGATTTGCTTTTCTCAGCTGGAAGAGACATCAGCTCTGGAACAGCTCTTTTCTTGATTCCGTCCACTTCGTCATCTGCTATATAGGTTGTCCGGAACCGGGGGTCCATGAGTGAGGCCATGTCCAGGAGTTCCTGTGTTACAGGGTCATTGTATTTATTGTTGAGGTAGTTGAGTATGTTGCTCTTGATTTGTTTGGTGAGCTCGGTCTCACCCTCCTCTGGCTGCAGAAGGCTGTTGTTTAACAGGTGGATTACCGGTTTGAGGTAGGAGACACTCACGTAGGCCTCACCAGATAGGGCATCAGTGAATTCCTTCAGTGGACTTACAGCTTTATTAATTGACTCCAACATGTCAATGTCCTGCCAGGTGGGCACCAGGTGCCTGCTTTTCTTGTCTGCTCCCAGGACCTGTGCTATGGCCTTCTCCTGTTCCAACAGTCGTTCTACCATCAGTGGTCTCGAACCCCACCTGGTTAGGGACTCGGTGATGAGGTTGTGAGATGGTAGACCGAGCTCAGCCTGTACCACTGCCATATCTCTTCTCTTCTTCCAACTGAAGGAAAAGGCACTTACAACCTTTTTGCAAACCCCGATGGCACGGTCAATCCGTGGATCTTTCATACCATTCACTGTAAAAAGGAAAGAAAAAGGGAAGAAACCAAAAAGGAACATTTTAGAATGGCACCATTTAATCAATGTGACAAGGACAGCATTCACACATTGTGATAGTCTTTTTTTTATGATTTAAATATTATTATACATTTTCCATGACAGACAAACACAAGAAAAAACTGTATGACAATACAAGGACATGGCTGTAGCACAAAACAGTGGGAGGAGGGAGGGTTACAGTGTTAAATTATTTTATGCATGTGTTTCTCTTTAACACATAGCCTAGTGTGTCCACATATTATCTTACACATTATGATAGTCTAACACTTCTTAATTAAGCTTAATTCTGTTTGACAAAGAAAAGAAAATGTTTCACACTGTAAGTATAATTTAATTAATGCGTAGCCTACACACGCACACACACACTAGTATTACATTATTTATGCACTTATGGCAACTATGCATAACTGTATCAAGGCTCCAGACTTTTTTACTTTTTTACTGAATAGATAGGTCTCGCATTTCCCCTCCCCCACACTAAAGCCATCACTGAACCTAATATGCAACTGCATCAATCCATTCAATTCGTTTTTATACATACATGTAGCACGTTGTTATGCATTGTGTAGCCACTTACTGATGGCATTGTGAAGTCTGTGTCCAAAGCATTGGAGGTTGGGCCACTCAGTCAGTCTCAAGGCTTTAATCATGTTGGAACCGCTGTCCGTAGTCATGCAAACAAGACGGTCTTCTCGAAGCTTCCAGGAGGCCAGCGAGTCTTGTAACCCTTGGGCTATTACTTCGCCAGTGTGGTCGTCCGGGAAGTACGATGTCTGCAGGCACATGCCTCGCAGGGCCCATTCTCCGTCAATAAAATGCACGGTCAAACTCAAATATGGGTGTGTGGTTCGGCTGGACCATAGGTCGGTAGTGGTGGAATAATAAACTATGTTTTGCAGCTGCTCTGCGACTCTAGCTCTTGTTTTGTTATATAAATTGGGCAATGCAACTGTAGCGAAATGCTTGCGGCTGGGCAGTTGATATTTCGGGTCTATCGTTTGCAGCATCTTAATGAACCAGTTTTTTTCTACGGTATAGATGGGGACCATATATTTTGCGATGTAATATGTCACCGCATCTGTGATCGCCTGCCACCGGGGCCCTTTCTTGTCATAAGGAATGACTGTTGAAAATGCTGCTGCCAAGGTTACCTGCTTTTTTGCAGGCACTTTGTGGCTTGAGCTAGCATCTGCATCTCTTAGTGCTACACACTCCTGCCATTCCACTGCATGTCTCTGTCGCAGGTGCTGGAATAAGTTGGTTGTGTTCCCATGTTTTGCAGCGATCGTCTTTCTACAGACCTTACACAGAACAGTTGTTTGTTCTATGTCTGACCGCTTGTACCCGAACCACTTCCATACAACTGAAGTAGCACCTTTTTTAGGAATGAGTTCTTCTTCATCTGTGTTCGTGGACATTTTTATGGTACGTCTGTCGGTGGCGCGTGAATGTGATTGTAGTAGGCTATGTGACTACCCGATCTGCAGCTCTGCACATGCGCACAGCAGATCGGGCAGAGCTGCAGATCGGGTAGTCACAGGCAATGTGGCTGAGTTTTGTGCGCGTTCTGGAAAGTGAGAGAGTAAGCTACTACGGAGTCCCTTAAAGCAAAACAAATCTGCGGAGTCTAGAAATGTTTTAAAATCGCGATTTTTCGGTTCAGCCATTTCACAAACCGTAGGAAAGTAAAAATGAAAATTAATCGTTAAAACCCAAAAAATCGCCCAGCCCTAACACACACACGTCTGAGAAATGGTCAGGGATAGCCAAACATTAAAACTAACACATATTGACACAGCTGGCTGTTTATGGGGGCAACACAATGGTAAACTGAGCCGAGATAAACAGAGATACTTGAGGTCTGAGATACACGCTGACTCTGTGGCCGGATGGTCAAACAAAAGCCAGATCCTATTCTGGCTTCAAGTATTAGTTCCCTATAATTTATTAACCTCACTCATTGTCCAGGATTTCGAGAAATTCTACTTTCCACCACTGTTTTTCATCCAGTTCATCAGAAAACCAGATGAAATCCATCGTTTAAATGTCCTGAACTTAAGATGCAAATGGAAGCCCATTGAAACAAACCCCAACTATTAATGATGTGTCCAAACGGTCCTAGAAAACAGCCAAGTGTTGTTTTGCTGTTATTATCCATGTCCTTTTGCTCCTGATGCAGATATTAACCAGGCTGTTACATAAGCTCTGGAGCCACATGAAAAAGTCAAATTGGAAATGAAAAATCACCAAAAATCTCTCTGGTTACATCTACAGAACCACACAACACCTCCAAACAGAGGATACTGGCCAAGCACATCATGACAGCTCCACACACTATTATGCATATATATATATATATATATATGACTGCCATATGGGGAACTGCAAATCAACAGCTGGTGGGATGTGTGCTTTTGCAAATTGTTACCATATTAATGTGTGATATCTGCTGAACACATAGTGTATGCGTGTTGGTGTGTGTGAACATCTACCCGCCACATGTAAAGTATTTAAAAGTGGCTTAAAATGTGATTTTCTTAAATGCTTATTCTGTTGTACATATACAGAAATCATTGACATACCATCACATAAACAATAATGAGACTATAAAAGTTGCATTTTTTTTAAAATTCTCTCTCCCAACAGTTATGCAACAAGAACAAATCACTTGCAAACTTGAAGTCAGCGCCCTTGTGGGTCCAACTGATGACATATGACAAGATGTAATATGATTGTGATCATAAACATTAAAGCCTGGAAAGCAGCCAAGAATTCTAAAGTAGTGAGTGAGTTAGGGCGCCCAACCTCATGCACTCATTCAACCCTCTTTCGTCTCTTTAAGATCAACGAGAACATTAGATTTATCTTATATTGATTATTGTGACACAGGAATCAGGGATAAATCATTTCAAGTAATTTGCAACACCTGGGGTAAATCTGTATTGGCAGCCGCTGAAAATAGTTTATAATATCACTGAAAGTACAGCGTGAAAGGCACTTCTTTTGTTACTCTGTGACTCCACACAAACAGTAATTACAGACTGCTGAGGTCATTAGTACCACCCATTTCTATGGGTTTTGACCAACCAAGACGGCCGTCACGTTGGCACATTTCACTTCTTTCTTTCAGAATGAGGCTTAAACGAGGTGAAAATCACTACAAGTCTGGGCAGTCTAGTCTTATATTTCAACAGTTTTACGACAAACTGTGACTTTTTTTACATTAAGATTGACAAACATCATAGCCGACGTGTAATGTGTGGCACAATTCAAACGGGATCGAAAGATACGTTTTCTCTCCCCATTGTCTTCAATACATAATTTTTCCGAAATAAGGTCCCATGGGTCGGAAGTAGAAGGGCGGGACTTTGCCTCTCTATAGAGTGGCGAAGTCCCTCCCCTTCCGGTGGACCTCCATGGGACCTTATTTCGGAAAAAGTATGTATTGAAGTCAATGGAGAGAGAAAGATTATCTTTCGATCCCGTTTGAATTGTGCCTCGAATTACACATATGATGTTTATCAATTTAAAAGACAATTTTGCAAGTAATAAAAAAAACAAATGTGTCGTAAAACTGTGAAGTAACACATTTGTTTGCGTGAAACGCTCAATGAACTACATCTCCAGTCTAGCAGAACAACACACGTCACCAAGATGGCCGTCACTACTGTCTTGTCAACAAAACGATTGACTACCCTCACTATCACCACAATGAAACACGTCCAGAAGAATGTCATGCAAAGCTGCCTGCCTGCCTTCCTTTGATTCTCTCTGAACTGCCTGGTCTTTTTAATGTTTAATGTCAACCATTTGTGCAGATAGCATGAAGTAGAAAAGATCGGTGATCGCCGATGCTAGCGTTAGCATTTCTCCCCCGGGCTTAAATTGTGTATTATAGAATGATCACACTGGTGACAGTACTCGAAATATGACTACTACTCTTACTGTTTAACATTTTGGGTTACTTAATGTTACTTCATATTAAGGCTAATAAAAATGACATGGCTGTAATGCTAACTAACATGCTAGCTACTAGCTAAGTAGCTAACTTAATCCAGCCACTCCTGGTCCTTTCATCAGACGGGAAGCGAAAGAACGAGCAAGACCCATTGCTGGTATGATAACAACCTGGTACTAAGCACACAGGCATCTTGTTAAAGTTATTTTATCTTAGCCAGCGCCATATAGATAGATTATATCTATATGGTGCTGATCTTAGCTATCTCTCAGTGGAGGAAAACAATTGTGACATCACTTACGCGACTCTGGGATTTGTAGTCTTTCTAGTTGCGTATTTTTCATAGTCTTATATTTCAACAGTTTTACGACAAACTGTGACTTTTTTTACATGGAAATTATTATTTAAGATTGACAAACATCATATGTGTAATTCATGGCACAATTCAAACGGGATCGAAAGATAAGTTTTCTCTCTCCATTGACTTCAATACATTATTTTTCCGAAATAAGGTCCCATAGACCGGAAGTAGATGGGCGTGACTTCGCCACTCTATAGGCACCAGAAACGTGTCCGTCCACACGAGACAGCTCGAACCGCTGGAGACGCTGTAGTACATATGCCGGGCCTGTAAGTGGCGCTGTACTTCTGCCACAAAATACACCAAAAGCAGCGAAGAAGACTTCTCGCACATGCATGGTTGCCATGGTTGCCCTTCTGTTTATTCTCCGCGCTGGATTTAGCAGCAGAGGTGGGGTTTCGCCAGTCAACATGTCCAATAAAGTTTAAATCTTCCGGACAAAATTAGAAAAGTGCCGGTCAAAGGTCTTCTTTGTTATTTATTGAGCTTTAAAACAAATGAATAACGACTCTATATAATAATATAAGAATAATACACGGAGGACGGAGCCTCTCTTTTCCTCCCCCTCTCCTGACAGCCTGTCAGTATCCGTGGTCTCATGCAGCTGGCTGATCTAGTAATGAGTGACCCGACAGTAAAAATAAACATATTTATAACTAGTTTAGGTAGTTTGAGAGGTAATTAAAATAGCTAAGGGTGATGATCTAACTTGAAGTGCGTGTTTTGTTCCGCTCATCGCTCCATCACAGCGGGCGGAGCTGCAGGTTATCATGCAGAGCTGCTGTCTCCTCTCCTGTCCGATTAGACTTCAATCACGTTTATGTCCATATTGATCAAATCTAGCTGGAAGCTCCTGCTGGGTGCACTGTGCTGCGAGATACCGGGACCTGGCTCGAAACACTGGGGCTATTGCGTCATCGTTAACAGGAAATGATCGTTATAGGGCGTAATCACAGAGCCGTTAGGCCCCCCAGAGCGTTTCGTCTGCAGATCTACCCACCTTGGGACCCGTTATCGTTTTCTGCGTTTCCATGTTGGCCTTGTGTGGCCGAACCGTCTATCTGATAGAGAACTGTAGTAGATATGACCGTTATCGTCCTCGTGTGGCTGCAGCCTAAGGTTTGCTGAATGAAAAATCAGATTGTTCATAAATCAGATCAGATATCCTCTACTGTTTAATACAAATTAATAGTCATTTTCCATAGCATCAGTAATGGCGTTACATGGAAATCAAAAAGCATAAGAGCATGTAAGAGTATGTAAGCCATTCAGGAGCTGAATGCATACAATATCTATTACCCACAGCAACATCAAAAAGTGATTTTGCCAAGCAATTCGTCTGCTTTTATTTGGGTATCAGTGCTATACTATTTAGGCAAATTTCCTGGACAAGGTTCCTAATCTGTGTTTCATCACCCAAGCATGCTCAAACTAAAAACATGTTCCATGTTTTACCCATAGTAAAACCATGACCTCTCTTCACAGCCAGGGAGTGTATCAGTGATAGAATCCTGTCTTCATTAACTTGATTTACAAGATAGCTTTTTGTATATGTAACATTCTTTAGACCAAACAAACCACCAGTGAATGCACTGTGTGAAAGTCAGGCATGCTAAACGACATA